AACCGAGGAACCAGAGTTCGATTACTTGCGGAGGCTACAAATTGTTTCTTCATCACGACGTCCAGATCGGCTCGGGTTCCAACGAAGTCTTCTCTACAGCGGGTACCGGAGTCTCTTTCCCGAGGGATAAAGCGGCCGGAGCATGAAGCTGACGGCTCATCTTCATATAGTGCCCAGTTTAATAACGTGTGCTCCTACATTATCATGGCGTGATAGTTAATTAAACACTGTACTTCTACCAGTTAGTACATTACAAGCGTTGATTGTGGATAACATTGATTCACTGTATTTTCAAGCATATATTAATGCCATCTGTTTGGTACGGGTTTGAAACTTGGTCCCTGATACTGAGCGATGAACATAGACTGAGGGCATTTGTGAAGAGGGTGTTGAGGGAGTTTAAAGACGGAGGAAATAAAAGGAATGTGTGGAAAAATGCATGAGGGGAAACTTTGCAATCGCCTCCTAATATTATTGAATGTAAAGTCGTCCCTGTGCTTAATTAATTAAGCACTGCGCCATGAAGGCATTGCATGTATAGATCCACGTATTCTTGGCCGCGGCACTAGTTGGAGGTGAGTGGTCAGCTTCACGCCCCGGCCGCTTTACCCCCGGGTAAAGAACTTCCGGTACCCATTGGATATACATGTATAATATAATGCAGGTCTAAAGAAACTGTCAAGTTCTGTCTGAACAGACATGTGACTCACTCAAATGTGAACAGCATTTTTCATTTTTCGATCTGAATCATCAGACATCCGGATTAACTAACCGGATTAGCGAGAGTTTACTGTACAATTATAGACGTTACCGCTGCGGCAACCCTCTCGGTGAAGATGCGGGACTCAAGGCGAAGTCGGTGTTCACAGGCGGCACTGGGAACTTACCGTGGAGGGACATAATGAATAATTCTTTGTCGACTCAGTTTCTCAGGATAGAAAATCGTGGAAGCGTTAATATTATATTAATAAAGAACGTAGACGAACTGAAACGTCCAGTCGCTTATTAGAATTCTTTTCCAGTAAGTTCCTACTTTGAGATGAAGCCGTTGGAAGCAAAGCAATCCATTTATTCGGCTCGAATAACTCGAGAAGTGAGAAGACACGATATTATAGTTTGATCACTGGATGTGAAATTGATGTCTGTTTAACGCTTTGAAGCCAGAGAGAGAAAGAGAATCAGGGGAACGCTAACAGGCCGACCACTAGATACGTCATTGCTTACGCAGTGCTCACTAGCCAGAGTATTCAAGAAGATTTATCAGTCCACATCAGAATATACCATGTAAGCACTCTGACATGTAGACCCTTTGCCAAGTAACAGCTGTGTAAACAGGCGAACGTGCAACAGCCGTTGCTCGAGAACAAGTCTGTGGGCACATGATTTCCTTGGCAACAAGAAAATACGCAATAATGGAGAAGTTTTCTGTGTGGTCCGTGCCGGGGTTATAAAACTATTAATATAAATACGGGACGGGAACGAAGAGACGAGTTATCCCCGTGTGGAGGCGGGGTCGAATACCTCCACCGTGACCCTGCGAGTCGTAGGAGGCGACGAAAAGGAAGTATCAAATGTGAGACAGTAAAATATTGTCGCAAGTCCCAAGGGACTAGGACCCGAGAAACACTGCGTTGGCAAGGGTCAACAACATATAAAAAGACAGACCCATCCTTTCGTCAGTGAGGGCGCCTCACAGAAACAAGACCGTAACTGTCGAGGAGTAATAAATATCTGGTCATGAGCCCCAGGAGGGTGCTCGACACCAAGACTTAATGACTGACTAACTGACAGTCAATCGCAATATGACTTTGACTTTTGGGACGGGAACCTGGCCCTCCGGGTTCGGGACTTCCGAACCTGAGACGGTAAAATATTGGAGTCTCGACGTCTGAAAGAAAAGCACGCAGACTTCCATGCCTTAAGTGGGAATCGAACCCACGATCCCAGTGTTCGAACAAGCGAAGACTGTTCATGAAGTCTACCTGTATGAAAGATCTCGCTGTCATGTTAGACAGTCAGCTCTATTTCCCTCAACGTGTCACTTATACCGTACATTTTCTCAGGCATCAAAGCTTCTTGGCCTCGATCGTTGAGTAAGAAATATTTTAGCCCACTTTCCTTAATCTGAAGAAATAACAGTAGGCCTATGCGATATCCACGCTGTCTGGTGTTTGTGTATCCCCCTTATCAACTCTGGAATGCCTGAACCAATCTGCACGAAATTTGGTATGTATATCATGGCGCCTGAGCCTATCAAAACGGCATACTTCGTAAATCCCTCCATCAGTCTGTGTGTCTGTATGTCTCTATGTTTACTCTCCACATGGTTGCTAGGCAACGGCTCAGTAAAAATGTTACCGAGGTGACGAATACACATCCAACAGCAGAAGGATTATTCGATGCGTCGTTTTCTATGCGACCCGGTCATATCAAAGGTGATTAGTTCTTCCCAGAATTTCTTGTTTCTACTTTGAACAGCCTAAAGTTTATGCATGTTTCTTTAATTAGGCCTAAGCTTCAGTTTGTTTCCGTAACCTTAAATGGGCAAATTGCAGTAAAATTTGAAAAATAGCGGAATAAATTTGAAAATTTATGTCACACTCGATTTTATCAGTTTGATTCTTGTCACAATTACGACATGATTCTAGAATGCTGAAATTTTGTAACATTTTGTTCCTGCCGATATCAAGGGATAATCGAATGCACTCTACAGGCACGCTCTTAGTCTTCGTGTGTCCAATAAATTAAATAGGGACTTACCTGGCTGAGACGCTATGCTAAAATTCGGAAAGTCACGGGTTCGATTTCCGAGGAGGTCTCGGATTTTTTCAATTGACCTAATCATTTCAGCCGCCCTATGGCCCTGAGGTCGACTCAGCCTCTAACAGAAATGAGTACCAGGACTCTTCCTGGGGTTAAAGGGCGGTCGGCCGGCGCGTAAGGCTGACAACCTCACCGCCAACTCTGAGTCTACTCTCTAGAATATGTGGCAGCCTCAACGTCTCATAACCATATGGGCCTCCAAGGTCTGTTACAGGGGTAGCTTTACCTTTTTTTTTCACCACTTTTACTGTAAGCAGCTGTGTAGGGTCCAGTCCTTTAGTCAGGTGTACCATCACTGCCAATAGCATGTTTGACAATAAGAACAACGTTGTAGGTGTCTGATATAGTAAAACATGTCAGATCTTTTATGTTCTTAATAGGAGTACTGTTTCCCGGAGGGCATGGTTTCTGTGTGTAATTCTGGTTAAGTAATTTGTTTTCTCTTTTTGTTTATTTTTTCCATTGAAATTAAAAATTCGCTTAGTGGGGGGTGGAGTCCAACTGTGTCCACTCGGCACGGCGGCCATTGATTGGCCTATTGCAGCCTGCCCGGGTGATTATGATGATGGAGAATTTGGTAGAATGAAGATTGGCAGGGGAAACCGAAGTACTCGGTGAAAACACGCCCCAGCACCACTTTGTCCACCACAAATCCCACTTGACCAGACCGGGGATCGAACCCGGGCCGCCGTGGTGGGAAGCCAGCGACTAACCGCTTGAACTATGGCGCGGCCCTGTTTTTTCCATTTTGTTTTCTTTGTCGTTTCTTTCTCATATTTACTATGTTTTTTTAGTTTTGTATTATAATACGCCACTACTATTTGCAAGCAAGAAGGGTGAAAAAAGAAAGTTAGGCTATATCCCTGTAACAGGCCGTAGAGACCCATAGGGTTGTGAGACGTCGAGACTGCCACATTTTCTAGACAGGCTAACAGATGGCAGTGAGGTTGTCAGCCTTACGCGCAGGTCGCCCTTTACCTTCTGGAAGATTCCTGGTACCCATTTCTGTTAGAGGTTGATTCGACCCCAGGGCCATAGTGCGGCTGGAAGGATTAGGTTAATTGAAAAAATAAAATGGCCTCATCGGGAATCAACTGAGACCTTCCAGCTTGTAGCATAGTGCCTCAACCAACCATACTACTGCAAGCACTCTCATAAATGAATTGAATTAAGAAATGTGTTAAGAATGTAAGTAATATTGTCTAAGGTTTCCTATTTCCATTTGCATCATTTGGCTTGTAGTGTCTTTATAACGGCGTGTGTGGTTTACTTCCGAATTTCTTAATGTCTGGTAAGTCTCCTGTTTTCATGTGGTCTTCCCATTTGCATTGCTTGGCTGCAGCTGACTGTGTAACTGTTGCCAAGCAATTCAATTAGTAGTCGGTATAGCGACGGGCTGGACGTCCTAGGTTCGATTCCTGGCACAAGCAAGAGATTTTTCTGTACTCCACGGCATCCAAACTTCCTCTTGGCCTGCCCAGCCTTCTATCCAGTGGGCATCTGAGGTTCTTTCCCCGGAGTAATGCGACCGGGGCTTGAAGCTAACTATTAACCTCTATCTAGTTACGGGATCAGGAATGAGTGGGGCTATAAGTCCACTTCCCCATACGTTCTCATTGTGTGGTGCTTAATTAATTAAGCACAAGTTAAAATTTACATTTACCTTACTGTTTATATGGAAGTGCTGCGTAGTGGTGTAAGGATTTACCACTTTCCCGAAAATTCGAAAAGCTACCAACGATTGTCACTTCCATCAGTACGAAATTAATGTACATGACGCAGTATCGTAATTAGCTCAGCCCGCCTGTCCTGCTGACCGAGAGCTTCCGGCTACATTTCTTGGTTCGAATGCAGTCAGATGAACGCGACTATGAAAGCCATAAGGGCGTGGGACATTTGGCGAGTGTCCGATGAGCGTGCCTTCGAATCCCATTCACGGCTTAGATGAATATGGATACTGTTTCTATCCCGAGTAAAGCTTAGTACATGAATTTCAAACTGTGGGTAGCGACCCTCCTTGGGGTCGTCTGGTTGTCAAGAATTATTTCAAATATATTTGCATACACGCACAGTCTGCGTAGTTCTGTATTGGGGCGTCTACCTAGTTCTGAGCTGGAGCGTCTACCTAGTTCTGAACTGGAGCGTCTACCTAGTTCTGAACTGGAGCGTCTACCTAGTTCTGAACCGAAGCGTCTACTTGGTTCTGAACTGAAGCGGCTGCCTAGTTCTGAACTGGAGCGTCTACCTAGTTCTGAATCGAAGCGTCTACTTGGTTCTGATCTGGAGCGTCTACCTAGTTCTGATCTGGAGCGTCTACCTGGTTCTGACCTGGAGCGTCTACCTAGTTCTGAACTGGAGCGTCTACCTAGTTCTGAGCTGGAGCGTCTACCTAGTTCTGAACTGGAGCGTCTACCTAGTTCTGAATCGAAGCGTCTACTTGGTTCTGATCTGGAGCGTCTACCTAGTTCTGAATGGACCGTCTACCTAGTTCTGAACCGAAGCGTCTGCCTAGTTCTGGTCTGGAGAGTCAACCTAGTTCTGATCTGAAGCGTCAACCTAGTTCTGAACTGGAGTGTCTACCCAATTCTGATCTGGAGCGTCTGCATAGTTCTGATCTGGAGCGTCTGCATAGTTCTGAACTGGAGCGTCTACCTAGTTCTTAACCGAAGCGTGTACTTGGTTCTGATCTGGAGGGTCAACCTATTTCTGATCTGGAGCGTCAACCTAGTTCTGATCTGGAGTGTCTACCTAGTTCTGAGCTGGAGCGTCTGCCTATTTCTGAACTGGAGCGTCTACCTAGTTCTGAACCGAAGCGTCTATTTGGTTCTGATCTGGAGTGTCAACCTAGTTCTGATCTGGAGCTTCAACCTAGTTCTGATCTGGAGCGTCTACCTAGTTCTGAGCTGGAGCGTCTACCCAGTTCTGATCTGGAGCGTCTGCCTAGTTCTGAACTGGAGCGTCTACCTAGTTCTGAACCGAAGCGTCTACCTAGTTCTGATGTGAAGCGTCTACCTAATTCTGATCTGGAGCGTTGACCTGGTTCTGATCTGCAGCGTCTGCCTAGTTCTGAACTGGAGCGTCTACCTAGTTCTGAATCGAAGCGTCTACTTGGTTCTGATCTGGAGCGTCTACCTAGTTCTGATCTGGAGTGTCTATCTAGTTAAGAACTGGAACGTCTACCTAGTTCTGAACTGGAAGGTTTACTTAGTTCTGAACTGGACAGTGTACCTAGTTCTGAGCTGGGGCGTCTACCTAGTTCCGAACTGGAGGGTCTATCTAGGTAAGAACTGGAGCGTCTATCTGAACTGGAGCGTCTACCTAGTTCTGAACTGGAGGGTGTACCTACTTCTGAGCTGAAGCGTCTACCTAGTTCTGAGTTGGAGCGTTTACCTAGTTCCGAACTGGAGGGTCTATCTAGGTAAGAACTGGAGCGTCTGTCTACTTCTGAACTGGAGCGTCTACCTAGTTCCGAACTGGAGCGTCTACCCATTTCCTATTGAAGCGTCTGCGTAGTTGTGAAAAGCCACTTCCGTCGCTTCTCTTTATGGAAGCCGAAGACTCATGACCATATTCACAAGAGCCCGCCACTGGTCCCTATGCTGGGCCAGATGAATCTACTGCACGTCCTGTGTATTTAAGGTCCATTTTCAAGGCAGACTCACTAAAAGAAGATAGGATCTTTCTATCCTCTTTATAAATTTCAAAATTCCACTCTTTATTCTTACTGCAAAACACAAAGATAGCCTTCGGTTAGAAACTTCTTGCGTTATTCCGCTGAAATCCGTTGCCAACCTGAAACGTTATATCCGACTTGCGTACAATTAGTTTGCCTGAGGGTTTCGGGTATGAATGTCGTTTTGAAGTAAACTGGAGTGGCCCTTCCGCTTTAATATTGATTTATATAGAGGAACACAAAGTCTGCAGCGTGATAAGATACACTTCCTCCATATGACCATCTGTACATTTTTCTATCTATCTATCTATCTATCTATCTATCTATCTATCTATCTATCTATCCATCTATCATCTGTCTATCCATCTATCTATTTATCTATCTATCTATCTATTTTCTTGTCATTCGACCTCATGCAATGTGAGCAACTGAGAACCTCATCAAATTAACCATAGATACAAGTAATAAAATATCTTGTAAGCAAACTCATCATTCCTTGATGATGGAGGGGGAACTAGTTTTCGAAATATTGAAAGTTTGCTCCGAATTTACTTGTTGGCGGTACAAACTTTTGATTGTGCCTAATTCTCTCGGCTGAAGAGGAACTCACGTAAGATTACGTACCTTAGTAGGTCACGTGGCGCATTCTAGAAGACAGTTTCCGCTGAAATATTTGTCAGATCTACCAAATTATACGGCATCATAACCCAGAAGACCGGAATCTTATTACCCGCGTCTCGAGAATCCAAAGTGACGTATGGAAAATTGGGAATATTTTCGTGCGTGATTCCCAGAACTGAAGCAGGAAGGCACTTTATGTCGATTCAGTGTTTAATTCCTTATAGTTTTTGTAAGTTTCAAGTTTATTGTATGTAATGAATGCATTTGGGTTAAAAATTCAGTTAGTTTCTTTAGCTCATTGACAGCCATAATTTAATCATAACTTACTTTCTCCTGTTCCCATAAGAACACTGACCTCCTTCACGAAATGTGCCAGTTGTTCTTTATTACTTGATTTTTGGCTCCGTCTCTTCACTTTCAGCTCTCGTAAAGCATTCTCTACATCTTCCACCCATTTCAATTTTGACTTCTTTCTCTACATTCTCGCTTACTTTAAAACAATTACTTACACCCCCCTCACGCAGCAAGGTAGTTGATTGAGGCACTGTGCTACAAGCCGTAAGGTCACGGGTTCAATTCACGATGAGACCATTAGCCTTTTCATTTGGCCAAATCCTTCTAGTCGCACTATGGCCCTTGGGTCGACTAACCTCTAACAGAAATGAGTACTATGAATTTTGCTTGGGGGTAAAGGGCTGCCGGCGCGTAAAGCTGACAACATAACCACCATTTGTGAGCCGATTGTCTAGAATATGTGGGAGTCTCGACGTCTCACAACTCTATGGGCCTTCAAGGCCTGATACAGGAATAGCTTATTTCATATTTTAGGTCTCCCAACCGTGTTTGATCCTCTCTAATGACATGCCCCAACAACTCCCTATATCTCATTCTAGTGCCTGCTATCCGGTAAGGTGTTCTAAATAGTTCCTTCGCTTCTGGGTTACTTCCGGTTCTAAAAACCTCTTGTTCAGTTACCGGTCCACACACACACTTACCTCAAAATTTTCCTCTTCCACGCATTTTACATAACTTTGCCCTTGTTCAATAAACATCGTTACACAAAATACGAAAACAGTACGTTGCCATGGTAACAATATACGTCTATAGGCTTGACGCAACTCAGCAAGGACCAGTACTTCACTTTACCCTAAAGTTTACACACCAAACAATAGCATTGTTACGTATGGAAGGAGAATGTATTGCCCTGACAGTTGGAGCTCGTGTGGGGGGTGGTGGGGGGAATTCAACACACCAGCGTTGCGTGAAGTAACAGCACTTATGTGGCCTCAGCATGCTGGAGCCTGTCCTTAAGGATACGGTGCTGTTTTAATTGTACAAAGCATAGTGGTAATTATATGTACCACATGTATGAACATTTAAAATACGTTTTATTTTGCCCATACAGTGTATTTATCTGTTCCATACGACTCTTACAAAAACAACGATTATTTCCCTAAACAACATTAACCGGTTGGGCTTTGTAAAGGAGACGTAATGTGTTTCCTGTGAGGTATATACTGCATTCTGCCCACAGAGTATATTGACGTGTTTCGTATGGTTCTCACAATAAACAGCGATTATTTCCCTAAACAGCATTAACCGGTTGGGCTTTGTAGCGGAGACGTAATGTGTTTCCTGTGAGGTACGGACTGAATTTATATATACTGCATTCTGCCCACATAGTGTATTTATGTGTTCCGTATTATTATCACAATAAACAGCGATTGTATCCCTAAACAGCATTAACCTGTTGGGCTTTGTAACGGATATGTAATGTGTTTCCTTTGAGGTACGAATTTAAATTATAAATATAAATATTTTCTAACTGTTAGTGCCCCTGAAAGTTCCCAGCACCATCAGAGGGTAAAGCATGGTCATGATTGCCGTGGGAGTCGGAACCAAGAATCACTGTGCTGGTGAGGACAAGTAGCAATTTAGCGGCCAGGCAGTCAGCCCCTTCCCAACCCTTTCAGTCTCCCAAATGTACCTTCGGAGGAAGGACAAAAGGATATTTCCTAGGAAACTTCAAAGCCGGAAAAGTGTGTCCCCTTCCCACCTTAAAATTAAGACCGCTTTCAGACAAGACACAGTGTCCAGCGACTGCAAATACATTAGCGTGAATACAAGAGTCTCAGTGTCCCACGTCCAAGACACTGTGTCGCAGCTGTGTTTTTCCCCTTCAGTGGCCGAGACACTGATTTGTGGTCTGGCCACTCGAAGTGCATTGAGTTCAGACGGGACATACACAGTCTAGCATCATTGATGAAATGGTGGATAAACATTTTGATACCTCCATCTGGATAACAGGGCAACATCAACGTGGATTACTGACATCAGAGCTTGTTGTGGTGTTGAATGGCTGTATCCCCCCCCCAATTTCGTTTAACGAATAAATTAAAGGCAGAATAAATTCTGGAAATGCTTGCCGCCATTCCGTTCAGGATACTTTGTCTTACATCTGGTGTCTGGAAACGTAAAGAATAAAACACACAAAACTATAATTTGCCTTCTCGTTTTGTCCTGACGTGACACATGGTCTCTCATTTTAAAGTAAGAACATAGACAGAGGGTATATGAGAATAGGGTACTGAGTAAAATATTTTAATCTAAGAGGAACAACATTAGCGGAGGTTGAACAGAATTGCCTAATGAGGGGCTCATAATTTGTGTTTTTCACCATATATTATTTGAACAATGAGATTAAGGCGTATGAGAACACTGCAGTATGTAACACACTAGGAGGAGGTGGAAAATTAATAGTTTTTTTTTCGGAACGCTTGAAAGGTATCAGTTTGGAGATATAGGCATAGATGGGAGTAAAAGCTATCCCTGTAACAGGCCGTGGAGGCCCATAGGGTTGTGGGACGTCGAGGCTCCCATATTTTCTCTAGACCAGCCGTGCCAAACATGCGGCCCCCATAGCCACAAAGTGCGGCCCCTCAACGTTTAGAGTTAATTGATATTAAATTTTTAGTAGAAATATTTTTTGTAAAGACAATTTTCCAACAGACCAGAAGACAAGAAGTCTCACGCAGACATAAATTAGCAGGCTGCAGGAAATTCAATGTATTGCTATTTCTAACATAAGTTCTTCTGTAATTTCTCTTTTTACATATTGAAAAGTTGTTTGATACTTGTCAAAAATGGCATTCTCTTGCTTTTTAAAACTGTAAGATATGTGACTTATGTAATTATATTGAAATTATTCCTAAATAATAAATAGGATTAAATTTCCTTGTATCAAAATCTAATGTATATTTCTATTTTGAAATGCGGCCCTGGGCTATTATTTATAGGGCTGAGGTGGCCCTCTGTACAAGTTGAGTTTGACATGCCTGCTCTAGAGAATCGGCTCACAGATGGCGGTAAGTTTGTCAACCTTACGCGCCGGGCGCCCTTTACCCCCCCAGGAAGATTCCTGGTACTCATTTCTGTTAGAGGCTGAGTCGACCCGAGGACCATAGTGCGGCTGGAAGGATTAGGTAAATTGAAAAAATCCACCTCATCGGGACCTGAACCCGCAACCTTCCGGCTTGTAGCATGGCAGTATAATGTTTAAATTGGAAATATTTTTGAGATGTGTGAACATGGGTTCCTTTGTTCAGGATAGGGAGCAATGGCGGACTCTGGCGCGCAAGACAGTGAACCATCGCGTTCCGTAAACTTCTTGAATAGCTCAGTGAGAACATTAACTTCTGAGAGTGACTCTGGCTCATGCAGATGCTCAGAATTATTGGGTTTCGGACTTTGGTCATTGTCCGATATTCTGAAAATCAGATAACACAACGTTTCAGAAACTTGATCTCTTTATGTCCTTAGGTTAAAGAGTCGGTCGGTTAAATTGCTTCAGGTCTTCGCCAGCACACTCATTCCGTGTTTTACTCTCCTCGAGATCCATGACCAAGATTTTTATTCTCTCCTAGACACGTACGTGTTTCGAAATGTGACCTCTTCGACGAAGGAGGGGTCGGTCCTCCTATGTAGGCGCTATGTTTTCTGCACCGAAAGTCCAGCACTAGTATATCCGCGATGTCACGGCGTCCAGGTGACTTCGTACTCTGTGTGTCACTGCACTAGGCTAGCAAATATTTCGTATTTTCGGTCTAAAATCGTAGTTTCTCTAGTCGATAGCCTGTATGCGTGAGCTATAAGGACAACAAAGTCACGTGTTGCTTTGTCAGCTTCATTAGAAGAATGAATTTGGTTATCTGGAGATATGAATTGAGAGGCGAAGTTTTGAAACTGCTTCCAGTCTACCAGTTTCTCAACTGGACCTGAAGCTCTCCTGTTTGTATAGGATCCAGAATGTTGGTCATTATTGGTAGGTCCGAGATTTCGGTGACAGTGACCTCTGGCAGTCGGACGTTATGAAGTATCACAGTGTCGAGAACATCGCCTCTACCATCAGGTGTGTAATGTGAAGAGCATTCTGGAGCTGAGATTTCGAAGTTAGAACCAACAATTATTTATAAAGTCAAAGTTATTTTACGACTGGTAGTTTACCTCCAATCAGTTCGTCTTGGCGTCATGCACCTTGAGACCCAAGACAAGAGATTTTTTTTCAACTTAACTCTTGCTGTAATAAAACTTATTTAACATCATCTCTGACGAGAAGATGGGTTTGTCTCGTATGAATGAGCTTGGCCTTTCGCCAAGTGTACTTTTCGCACATATAGCGTGTTCTTGGAAATTCTTCCTTTTTGCTCTACATACAAGTCCGCTGCCAGTGCAGGTTTTACAGAGCAGATCATGTGTATCTTACGTATCTTATGCTACAACGGCAGCGTAGTCACTTGAACGGTCGTAAGCTTTGACCACCGCCAATTTTGAACCTCTTATATTCTCTATGTCTGGCTTCACCTTGTCCTGTACAACGAACATGTTCATTCTCATGATTTTGTATGACTTCTGCTTGTTGCCTGAACAATTTTGTTATATAATTTTATACATAGGGAAGATCTAAAGCAGTGTGCAAATTTGGGGCCGGTGTGCACCTTGGAAAATTTCCAGTGGTGCTCAGGATCTTATTTTACATGCGCGGTAAGTAAAAAAAAAAAAAAAGTAAAAGTAAAGCTATCCATGTAACGGGCTGTGAAGGCCCATAGGGTTGTGAGATGTTGAGGGTCTTACATTATCTAGACAATGAGCTCAAAGATGGCGGTAAGGTTGTCAGCCTTACGCGCCGGCCGCGCTTTACTCCCCAGGAAAATTATTTCATTATTTCCTGGTACACATTTCTGCCAGAGACTGAGTTGACTCCAGGGCCATAGTGCGACCGGAAGTATTATGTCAATTGAAAAAAATCCAATGACCTCATCGGGACTTGAACCCGGGACCTTCCGGTTTGTAGCAGTGGTACGCATACTAAATAATTCCAGCAGTACAACTACAGCCATATAAGTACCTGAAACCACACTTTGACGAAGGGAGGTAACAGAAAAATATGCACTGAAAATTGTGATAAAACATACACAGACCTGAAACTAAGGTAGAACTGGAGAAGAAAATCTTACGTAGCAAACCTAGCAAACAAACCAAGTCCATGAAAAACAATGCTCAGAATTAAACGGAGAATTTGTGAAACCATTTTTGCTTACTGCTAACGCCATCTGTAGAGCAAAAATTCAAGGTATGCCCATGCTTTAGCCCAATTTTTATTGCATATTTTCCTGTTATTTCGCTTCAACATAGATTTGCCTTTTATATTACTGTAGTTATACTGACATGGGTTGCCCAGTGATTGAAGTTAGCCCTTTCTAAGGGGCACAGCAGAGTAGGTGTCTCCTCCTCACCTGAGGACGGAAACAGATTCAGTTTCCGAAACGTTATGTTCTCTAGGTCTGACAATACCGGAGGA